GGCTCCCGCAGGCGCCGGCTTGAGCCCGAGTCTCACAGCAAGAAGGGGCCGTTCCAACCACCAACCCCAAGCGCGACGCAGGAGACGCGGCACTCGGAGGCGGCATCTCCCAGCGTCTTCCACAGGAATTCCCTCCAGAGGTTCCTAAACCAGTCACGCTGGAGGACAAAGAGACCATGAGGAAGGGCTCAACCTGAGGATCAAATGGGTGCTGCGGCGTCAGCCCCGGAAGCCACGGATCTCAATCCTCGGTGTGGTACCAGGACTGCCCTTGGGGGAACCCGGGGGCTACGGGAACAGTGCAAGTTCAATAAACATTATTTTTCAGCTTCAAAGAGGCGGTGGCTTTACCGTTCAGCGCTCCGTTCCTAAAACAAAGCTCTCTCCTTTCCAGACCAACGAGAACCCCCGACAGTAAACAGTCCACCGCGACCAGCGAGCAGCCGCACCGGGAGGGCGCCGGGCCCCGCGCTTACTAAACCTCGTCCCCGGCTGCGGTCGTGCAACCCGGCGTCTCAGACGGTGCGCGCCCAGCGTGGCCCTAGCGCTTCCTCTCCCCCTCACCGTCGGTGAAACCCGCTGTGTCTGGCGCAGACCCTGCGTTTGGTACCAGTCTGTACACTTCGTGGTGTGGTCCACGGACATCAGGTTTGCACACAATGAGCACAGCAGCTTTGAGAGGTGAGTGACGCACGTTAAAGAGTTTCTATAAAATTGCTTGGAACAAAACAACGTGACTTAATAGCAGTCAGGGTGCAGGGTCTTCAATCAACCGCCGGTGAGAGCCCCCCCCCCCGCGTCGACAGAGGGGCAAGTGCAGGGTAACCTTTTTCTTAATTCACAGGAAAAAAAGTAGCGACGGCCTGACTTTTCCCCAACCCCCTCCCTAACCAGCCAACCCAGCTGCAAATGTGATCGTCCTCAGGCTCCTTCGAAAGATTTGTGGAATTTGCAGAAATTCAGCAGGGGACCATCCTAAGTGGGTTTCAATCAGCAGGAGGACTTGGTGTTTCATGGTTTTCTTGCAGAAATGTGTCTTGGAAGCCGTATTTTAAGTCAGGTGAATACTTAAAAGATACAAGTGCATGTACATATTAGAGAGGAAGGGGAACGCATGAAACATTGCTCATAATTTTACAGGAGCCCTTGCATTGACGGCCACAGTCCTCCCTTTTGAGGGAAGTAATGAGCCTTGGTTACAACTTGTGTTTTGATTTAAACATCCTCCTTGACTATTAGTCTTGAAGCTGTATTTTTAATATGTCACTTAGGAGCAAACCAAGAAAAAAAATGAATGAGGGAGTGAGAATAAGAAAAGCCACTACGTTCCTACTGTGTTGCTGGGGGCGGACGCAGACGTGTGCACGACGGGTGCCGCGGCGGCAGAGGTCGCGGTGGTGGAGACGCACCCGTGCTCCGAGGGAGTCACCGGGTCCGGCGCTCCTGGTGCTGGCGGCAGCCGGCGGAGCAGAGCAAGAGCGAGAAAAGACAAAAGTCCTGTCAGACCTGGTGTTTAAACCTTGCAAAGATCGGCATGCAACGTGAGGGCCTCGCGTTAAGCCGCAGCGAAGTCGGACCCCTCTCCCCGCACCAGCCGGGGCCATGCCGAGCCCGCCGCGCTCCCGAGGCGCCGCCCCGCGGGCGTGCAGGCGGTGCGCGGCGCGTCCCCGTCCGGAGGCTGCGGGGCTGCGCGGGGCTGAGCGGTCTGCCTGGCGCTGCGCCCCCCACCAGAGTCGGCGAAGGCGCTGGGACGCCCCCCCTCGCCGGCGCGCCCCGCCTGCTCAGGGCTGCGTCCCGAGGACAACCGCGGCCACGCGCCGTTGCCCCCACCCCAGACCTGAGTGGCTTTTTAAAAATAAACAAATAAATCGGTGAGGAGGATGTGGCGCAACTGGGACCCGTGTGTGTCGCAGGCGGGAATGTAACACAGCCTCAGCCGCAGACGGGCACAGCCTGGTGCTTCCCAAAATGAAACCACAGCATCCATGGGACTCACAGCTCTGCTCCAAGGGGCTCCCCCCTGCGCACGGAAAGCAGGAAGGGGGGAAGGAAGTGTGGGAAGAAGGAAGGAAGAGGGTAAGGAAAGGAAGAAGGAAGGGAGGAAGGAAGGAAGAAAAGGAGGGAGGGAGGGAAGGAAGGGTGGAAGGAAGAAAAGAAAGAAAAGACTTAACAAGTGTGTAAACCAACATGCATATGTAGAAACAGCTTCTGTGCCCATCGGCAGATGAGCGAACACCAAGAACGCGGTGTGTCCATACAAGGCAGCATCAACCAGTGATCACAAGGCATGGGACCCTGACACAGGCTACAACGTGACTGGATCTTGGTGGTAACACTACGCTCAGTGAAATGAGGCGGGCACAAAAGGGCGAATATTATCGAATTCCACTTACATGAGACGCCTAGAATAGACAAATTCAAGCAGACAGAAAGCAGAATGGAAGCTACCAGGGACCTCGGGGAGGGCTGAGGGCAGTGACTGTCCCATGGCACAGAGCTCTCGCTGGGGTTGATGGAAACGTTTTGGGAGTGGACAGCTGTGATGGTCACACACTGTGAAGGCATTTAATGCCCCTGAATTATATAGTTATAAATGGCTGAAATGACAAACAGGATGGATACATATATTTTACCACAGTAAAAAAAATTAGCAAACCAGATAAAGCAACATGTAAAAAGGATTACACATCGTGATAAAGCGAGATTTTTCCCGGGAATTCAAGGTTTTGGTATTTTTTAACCCTGAAAATTAATCAACATAATACAAATATAAATATAAACATAACTGTCTCATAATGGACACAGAGAACTAGTTTGGCAGAATCCAACATCCTTTCAGGATAGAAACCCTCAGCAAACCGGGAATGGAACCCACACCTGCTGGTGACCACCTACCTCAGGGGACCCCACAGTGACCGCAGTCTCCCCGGGGGAAGATCGGGAACACAAGAGCGTCTGTCCTGGCCACTTCTACTGAACACTTGCTGGAGGTTCCAGCCAGGGAAATTAGGCAGAGGGAGAAAGAACACATTTGGATTAGAAAAACAAGTAGTAAATCTATCTCCAGTAGCAGGTGTCATGACCTTAAACACAGAAAACCCTAAGTAATCCACTAAACCAGTAATCAGGGTTAACAAGCTTGCAGATCATTTTAAAAAGATATTTCTATAAAGCAGCAATGAGCAATGAAATTAAGAAAAACTTCCATTTATGATACCATCCAAAAAATACTTAGGAATTAATTGAACAAGTGCAAACTGAAGTACAAGCTGAAAACTACAAAACAGTGCTGGAAAGAATTAAAGGAGCTCTTAAGAAATGGGGAGACATCTATGTTTACGTGTTGGAAGGTGTAATTCTGTTCAGATGGCAACACTCCACAAATTTTTACAAATTCAGAACAATTCTTGTCAAAATCGCAGTCTGCTTTTCACGAGATTGCCAAACTGATGCTAAAATTCATGTGGAAATTCAAATGATCCAAAATAGCCAAAATAGTCTTAAAAGGAAGAATAACGTCAGAAGAGTCACATTTCACAACTTCAGAACCTGCTGCGGGAAACGAGCCAGGGTGGGGACCACGCACGCGGGGGCCGGGGGGCCTGAGACACGCAGCAGCATCGCCCCCTAAACCAGCTGAGTGGGTGCCCACACCCCACTTCACTGAGATCGGCGCCGGCTTTTTAATGTCACTGAAAACCCTTAAATCCACCCTTTAGAGTCCTCTTAGGACCATCGGGAGTATGAGTTCCAAAAATTCTTTAAAAACAGGACATTTGTTTTCAGTCTTTTCCACGTCCAAGAACACTTTTCTGCTGACTTCAGTCATGAAACAAAAATTTCTAAAACCCGATGTCTCTAGTTAAAGTCTCCCCTCACTCAGCAGTCTCGGAAGCAGCTGGATCGGTTGAGATTTAAGTCCTTTTTGGGCTGATTTCCCCGACGAATTAGTCGGCTCTTGTTCAGAACATTTTCAGGGCAGAAACACTCTTTCATAACACGTTGTGTCGCTGCTTGAGCTTCATGTATCAGAAGGTTCTCGGGCCCACTCCTTGTTCTCATCCAGGTTTTGTTCAGTTCCCCGCCCCCCTCCCCAACACACACAATGAGGATTCGCTCAGGTGTGTGACTCTGCACCCAGGGGTGGTTTCCCATCACAGAGCAGCGCCCCGCCCTCCCCAGGCGTCCCCTGCAGCGGGCAGCCTTCCCCGCCGTCCCTGCCGCCCTTCACTTGCGGGAGCCCGGGTCCAGGTCCCTGACCTCCAGCCCATCTCTGCTTGCCCAGAGTGGGACGGAACGAGCTCATAAAGCTTGGGGCTTCTCTGCTGGAAGACAGCTGTCCGGCAGTCCACCTGCCAACTCTACAAACAGCAAGAGCTGGAAGGCGCGTTCACTGTGTCCTCAAAATTCAGAAGAGGTCTTTACTCTTCAAAGGTCTGTGGAGCCAGTAAATGAAACGGCGCTGGCCGTGACGTTCACCTACTGCCTTCCAGCGCAGGCAGGGCGGGCGTCCTCCCTCCCCAGGCTGCATCGGGCTCAGGAATCCGAGGGCGGCTTTCATCAGCCATCTCTTTACTCGGTGTTTGCAGCCTTTTCAAGCAGCCAGAGAACTGCTCTGCCACCAGCGCGCCTCCGAGAGTCACAGAAGACCAACCCCCGCCCTCCTCTCCGGAACCAGCATACATGTCAGTTATGGGCTCAGCCGAGCTCCGTGGACTTGCACTAAAGACCCGACTCGTCACCCCCACGACACGCGTCAGCTGGGCTCTTAGCAGTCCTCCCCAGGCCTTCGTCGTGGCCGGAAGGCAGGGTTCAGGCACGTTCTGTTTCCTCCTGAACGTTTTTCTTTTCTCCCAAATAAGCCAACGCCTGCAGCGCTCATCTCTTGCGATGAGATCATTTACACCTTCTTGCTTCCAGCCACAGATTCACGGGCGTGGGAAGAAGATTCTCCTTTTTCACAGATCTCATCATTAAGCCATTTTCAACAATGAATCAGGAGATATAGTTAGTCTTTGGGAAGATTTTTCTAAGATTTTTCCAGAAGTCCTTCCTCTGAAACACAACCACTGTCGGTACTTGCTTGCGAAGCTGGAGCTTTGGAAGTTTGTTAAGTTCACTTGAGGTCTTGACACTGCTTAGCAAGGTGATGCCGTCTCACCCTGGAGCAGTCATGTTCCCCGTGTCTGATCCCTCATCTGGCTTCACATTTTCAACTGAATGAATGTACTATCTTGTAAGAACGCATTCCTTTTCTCAATAGGCAATGACACATTCTTGTCCTTAAGATGTCTTTCTTTGAGCTGCAGCAAACTGTCATTTACCAGGTTTGGGGTTTTACTGGGGCAGGTGTCTTTTGTTCTAGTTTTGGGAGCAGCGTTTTCAAATGTAAGTTCAATAATTCATGAATAAAATGAACGTTCAGATACAGTCAGAAAAAGTCAGGAACGTTTTCAGGTTGTTTAAATTTATTCTTGACGGTGAATGAATTGAGTCCTGCCCTTGAAATGCCTCGTTTTGTTTTCATGTTCTTGTATGAAATACTTACCGGCGCTTCCCCTGGGGAACATCCCTTTATGTTAGAAACAGCAGGCAGTAACGGTGATCTACAGCCATCGCTTCCCTGTGACCGTGATTATACGGTGACCGCGTCAGCATGGATCGCTTGTCTGAACCATGCAGGCCTTTAAAAATTGCTTCCTAGAACTTTCTGCTCAGCTTTGGTGACAACCGATAGTCAGGCTACTTCCTAGAGGGGGAAACCCCTTTGTAACAGGTGGGCTGCATGGTCCGCACCGGGGCCCACGCTGTGCCTGGCCCTCACCGAACCACTTACTACAAATCGGTAACGTTCAGAGTGTGTGCCGAGGACCGCTGGGCCCCCCACGGTGGCAGAAGGGAAGCAACGCCCTCATCCACCTGAGGGACGTCTGAAACCCGCGGCCCGTGTTTAACGCTCGTGACAACTTATTATGTCTTGTGCAGATGTGGGCATTTAAACATTTTAACTTGAAAAAAAAAAGTTGGATTTTCTTAAAGAACTTACCCCAAAATCTACTTATTTAAAGTTTTACACCCCTTTGTGTTTTTAAGTATGCTTTTTACATCGATAACCTCCATCATGCCAACGACCCTATGACACCCTCATTTACAGACAGAAAAATTCAGACTCAGAGAGTTTAAATCAAGTTCTTGTCTGAAGCTAGCAGATTGACCAGGGTTCAAAATACGTTTGTTCATTGATTTCAGATCGTATTTTTAATTAAAGCGATCGTTTTGAGATAATGGTGGGCTCACATGCTGCTGTGAGAAATAATGCAGAGAACTCACGTGCCTTTTACCCAGCTCCCCCCCGACGGTAGCGTCTCCCAGAACTAAGGACAGCACCACACCTGGGACGCTGGCGGTGATGCAGTCCAGATGCCGAGCACTGCCATCACCCGTCACCCTCAGCAGCCCCTGCACGGCCCAGCTCCCGGGCAGCCAGAGGGCCAGCCTTCCCTCCTCCAACCTTTCTGCTCTGTGTAGGCCCCAGACCCTCACCGGGGAGGCCACACCGGGGAGGCCACCAGTGCAGACGCTGATCTCTGCTGGCAACACCCTCGCAGACACAGAGTTTGACCACCACCCGGGGTCCCAGCGGCCCGGTCAAGCTGACACGGAAACGTTGCAGCCTGCGTTATGACACTGGACCGAGGAAGCCGATGTGCCGCTCACCACGCAGATTTAAAGGCTGAAACCCAATAGATGCATCTTAAAAACCAGTGTGTGACACAGGAGAAGATTTTACTTTATTTTCTGGAAATACTGAGCTCACTTTCTAAGCTCCACCGCTACTTCATGTGGGTACAGACGACACGCAGAGGAGGTGTGCCACCAAGTCCCCAACACGGAACAGCCACACACAGCGTACAGACACCAACACGCTAATGCATGGATGTCCAGACGCTAGCTTTTTAAGTTAAAGTGTAGTTGGTTTTCAATGTAGTATTAATTTCTGGTGCACAGCACAGTGGTTCAGTTTACATATATACACATTCCTCCTCAGATTCTTTTTCATTACAGGCTGTTACAGGTACTGAATACAGTTCCCTGTGCTGTACAGTAGGACCTTGCTGTTTATGTACTTTATACAAAGTAGTTAGTATCTATAAATCCTGAGCTCCCGATCCACCCCTCTACCCGCTCCTCTCCCTCCGTAACAATAAATTTGTTTTCCATGTCTGTGAGTCTGTTTCTGTTTTGGAAATAAGTTCATTTGTGTCATTTTTTCCAGATTCCACATATAAATGATAGCTCCATATGCTCATTTTTTAATTTTTATTTTTAAAAAATTCACAGGATTGAGCCTTCTCAAAGACAGAAATTAAAATCCCAGATTCATATAAAAATGCATTTTCCGCCTTTTAATTAAAATGATTAGTGCAATTAATGGTGATTACTTTTTCTAATGAATACTTAATTTATTCTTTGGGAAATTACTTATGATTATGACTCATTACCAAATAATTGCGTGCTATTGAGTGATCTGTGTCGTGCTGCTAATTCTTTTATTTTTGCATTTCATCAAAGCTTTCCTTTCTTTTTTTTTATTGCGTTATAGTCAGCTTACAATGTTGTGTCAGTTCGTGCTGTTAATTCTCACTGATGAAGGGATCAACATTTCTGAACTGAAATTTCCAGCCTTCTGTATAAATATGCTTTCTTTTGATAATAAAAATTAATATTCATAAATGTACTCACTTGCAATGGGCTGATGCTTGAAAAATCACTGATGGGACAGGGTCTGTCATTTCTGTGGAAAGAAGAGATCCATGCTGGGTAGGCGTTAGGCTGAACTTCACTTAGTTGGGAACGTAGACCAGTTGCCAGGGGAGGAGGGACGTCCTGGAGCTGGAGGCAGACCCTCCCTCCGCTCGCCCTGCAGACCCCACCTGCTTCACATGCATCCTTTCCCATTCACGCTAAGTGTGAGTGAGGTCTTCCTCCCCCTGCTGGAGGGTCAGTCCACCTGGCCGGCAGCCGCCACCCCCCAGCCTCTGCCGTCACTGCTGCCCGGGAAGCCTGCGCGGAACAGCAGGGCGCAGGGCACCACACACCTGCCAAGTCAGACGTCTGTGTTCCCGTCCCAGCGCCACCACACATACACCCTGCGGGCCGCAGATGGACAAGTACCGTGTGTTCGCTTCAGTTTCTTCGTTTGTAACAAGGGCACAACTACAGCCCTGGGCTGCTGAGGGCAAGGCCCTGAGCTCAATTCCTGGTGCACGGAGGTGTCCCGCAGCGGAGAGCAGCTGCCGTCATTGTGAGCGGCCACTGCCTCAGCACACTGTCCCCAACGACTGCTACCCGGACCACGATGTGCACGACATAGTATTCTGTACGTTTTGCCTTATTGGGAAGAAAAATTCTAAGTGAGCAAGAGGGTCAGTCACAAACACACAGGAAAACGCAGACTTAGCGTACAAAGCAACCAAACTTCCCCTGGATATTTTGCAAAAACACTTTCAAGGTTCACTTGCCATATTTGGAACTGAACCTGCATTCTTAGCAAGAGCTCAAAGGTCTCCGATTTTTAGGTGCCTGGCTCAACGTACATCTGAAAATATCTCTAGGATGAATAAAAAGATTTAACAGATATTTATGAAATGAACCCTTTCAAGTAGCTGCTTCACAGCGCTAATGACATCTACACTTAGAATATTACAAACGTCAACGTTTTTGTGCGTTCCCTGTTCTTCCCATATTATCAGGGTGTCTTCACAGACCACGTCAGAGCACAGAGGCAAAGCCTGCTCGTGTGCACAAGTCTGAGCTTGTCCACCAGGTGACCGTGTCCTCATGAAACATCTATAATTTCTTAACCGAGTAAGAAGGGCCAAATACTTTTTTGCATGATATAATATATAATACACGTTGCTATGTAATATATATAATTATATATAGTTACATATAATTATGCATTATAATTATATGTATATAATTATACATATATAGTAATTATACATAATAGTTATAATTATACATAATTATGTTATGTATAATTACATGTAATATTTTAATTAAATTACCCAAAAAAGTGAAGTACTTTAGACTTGACAGCTTTTACCCCCACTATCTTAAGATAATGTGATATATTTATTGGATGAAAATATCAACTTCGGTTTACTTCTTAAAATTTCACTCACAGACTTGAGTTCTGGAAAGAACGCTTCAGATGGGCTCGAGGTAACACGACGAATCCCTGATGTCACTGGTGGTGTCTGGATTCCCACAGGCACATCTGATCAACCTCCTGCCAAGCAGAGTAAAGAAATAATAACCTCGGGAGGAGAAGCCCGATGCCGGAGGCGGCAGCCAACGCATTTAATAAAACGAGTGGTGGCCCGAGACCGTGGGCCCCGCGCACTCGCTGAAGCTTGGTTAGCATGACAGTGTTATTTTTTTGGCCCCCGAATCTCTGGAATCTGTCTAATGCACATTTTATCTTCAAGGAAGAATTTTTGTTGAGGATATACGTGCCAGAGCTGGCAAGAGACACTTAAGATACCAGTTCTAAGTACGTGTGGTTCCAAGACGGCTGAACAGAGCTGAAGTCAGCATCAGCATGGCGGCCAACTTAATCCACGAGAGACCGCCCGCGCTTCTGCCCTTCGAACTGCTTATCAGAAAGTGGAAGGGACGAAAAACCGGTCCTAACACGGACTAAAGGCCGGGGGTAGTGGGGGAGGCGGGGGGGTGCCTGAGGGTCTGCGGGTCGCCGCTCACAGGTGGTGCCTCTCCCGGGGGACCCCCTCAGACTGGGGTGGCCGGGCCACATCACGTCACCCTCGGCAGCTGCTTCTGATCTAGAGAAGGGAGACTGTAAGGGACTGTGTCTTGGGCTGGTTTGAGGGCACTGCTTGTCACAAGGCGCTTCCTTTATCTCCCTTCCTTCCCCATCCAGTCCTCCGTTTTCCAAAGTTTTTCTGAAATGGCAGGGAACTCATTCAAGACTGACTGCTGCATCACTGACAGCACCAGATGAAGCAGGAGCAGACGACCGACTTCCCTTAAGTTGTGCGAAAACCCTTCACACGACTCTAGAAACGCGTCACTGTGCAGAATCCCCAGCCGCACGGCCGTGCCTCCGCCTCCACGCGGCTGGCGGACACCCACACTGGGTGTAAAGCAAGGAGCTTAACTGATTTAAAGGGGGCGGCTGTCGACTCTGTGGGCCCCGCTGATTTAAATACCTGAACCAGTCGGAGTGCAGGCAGGAAACAGCATCCACCCCAGACGATCTAAATGCTGAGTCCTGAGGTAAGGGGCGGTGTGTGGTCAAGATTCAGGAAGATGACGACGTTTGCTGAACTGTCTAGAAAGGGCAGCCTTTTGACACCACAGCCCGAAGGGGCAGGAAAGAAACAGGCCGACTTCGGTTTTGTTCTTCCTCCCGATGGCACGTCTGTGATTCCCAGCACTGTCTCCCAGCTGGCAGCCTCTGCAAAGCGTCTGGGGTGAGGCGGCACAGGACAGGGAACGATGAGGGGAGACAGCGCGTCTGGGGGAGGAAGTGCAGAGTGACTCTCGCCAGTTAGAATCCTCTCCTGCCCTGCGGTCACCTGGAGAAAATCCCATCCCGAGCATACGGGAGTCACAAGGTGTCACCGACCACCGAGATGTCACAAGATGATGTCAGTACTGTTACACTTCCTCCTGGAACCTGCAGTCTGTTAGACTCCGCTTATGCACTAATGGAATACTGAAGGGGCAGGAAATGATTAAAGGTAAACGCTCGGAGCTGCCACGGCCAGCCCCTGCAAAAGGTCACTGGGCCGAGGCTGAGGTCACCACTTCCTCCTCCCACCAGTCATTTTATGCCCCTTTCCTCCACCAACACCTTCACTCAGTGAGGTTCAGTACCAGGAGTGTGACACAGACGTCCAGTCCTGACAGACCTCAGTGCTCAGTGGCTTGGCTCTGTGAAGACATCAGCACGTACTGTTGGACACGGGAAGCCCCAGGTGTGCTCTGGGACACCTGGCTTCCAGCTGTGGCCTCACTGCCCAGATACCTTTAAGAAACCTGGTGTCCTCTTGGCAGGCAGGAGCAGGCGCCTGCGCCAGCAGAGTCCCGTGCTCTCTGACTGCCCCCACAGTGGCATGTGGCACCCAAGATGGCTGCAGAGCATTCCAGCCTCCGGGTCTACACTGCCTTTCTTGGGGGAGGTGGCTTCCTCCAGGGAACTAAGACCTCCAAACCGTCAAGTTCAAGGGGCGAAGCAGACAGCATGGACTCCTTCGTGGCTGGGAGGTGAGTGAGGGATGCTCAGTATGGCCCCTCCTCCAGCGCCCACAGACTCCGGTGTTCTGACCACAGGTGGAAACAGCACCGCGCACTGGCTGCACGATTAAAGCGAATGCTTTATCCATATTCCACGCGTGAGGGGCAGGCGACGGCAGACACGGAGATACACCACTAAGGAACACTGCCCGTCCCAGGGCTGAAGTGTTAGCAGCCAAGTGCCTTCGCGAGTCAGCCCCGCCAGGGCCTGTCCTGGCTCTGGAGCGGTGCCAAGGGCATGTCCCTCCCCGGCGCAGTCCATGTCCAGGTGGACGATGAGATCCGGCTACTTGGCCCAACACGGAACAACCCAGCCCCTTTCAGCTCCAGAATTCCCCAGGGGATGCGGGAGCGACCAGCCTGAATCACACACCTGTCGGTGCCCATCCCAAGGGTCCTCCCAGAGAAACACACCATACACGGACCTCTCCCTCAGCCCGTCTCCGGAGGACCCAAACCCCACACACCTCCTCTGAGGCGGGGTCGGGGGCATGCCTGACCCTTCCACAGCCCCTGCCCCAGGCGTCTCAGGCCAGCGGCTTGTGAGTGATAGGAATTTGCAGTAAGACGGTGAATCCCATGACAAAGGCCCTTCTACACTCCCTCCCTGTAAGATGAGTCCCTTGGTCAAAGCAGTGCTTTGCGGGCGCCGTCTTGGCAGATGAAGCGTTCGGAACGCCCACAGACAGCAGGGCCGGGCAGAAGCATCAGGACAAGGAAAAGAAAGGTAACTCTGAAAATCCTGTTTCCCCATGAGAAACTCACTGTCCCCAGTAGGACGGAAGCTGTCCGGTGTATCAAACTCCTCCTGAACCCCCAATGTGACCCTGTCAGGAGATGGGCCTTTAGGGGGATAATTAAGATGAAATGAGGTCACAAGGCTGGAGTCCAAGTTCTGTAGGACCCAGGTCCTCACAGGGAGAGACCCCAGAGAGCCCCTGTCTGGGCTGCATGAAGAAAAGACCGTTTGAGGGCCCAGCGAGAAGACGGCCGTCTGCAAGCGGGAGGGGCCCCCACCAGACACCCACCCCGCCGGTGCCCGACTTGGACTTCCAGCCTCTCGAACTGTGACGAGATGCATTCCTGCTGTTTGGGCCTCCCAGACAGCGGTGTTCTGTCCTGGTAGCCCGAGCTGACTAGTATAACGTCCTTGCTCAACCAAGTGCTTAACTGAAACCCAAACAGGTCAACAGAGAAGCGCAGTTGCTAACTGACCACTTAACCAGCACTTAACCGGCACAGCACCGGCCTGTGCGTGGCCCCGGGGGCGGCGGCCGGCCCCGGGCGCCGTCACTGGCACGCAAGGCTCCGCTGCACGTAGCAGAAAGACAACCTTTCACGTCGAATCAAACACTGAAAACAAGCAGAGACTAGGACGTGTACTACAGAAGGAAGAGCTACAGAGGAAAGGCAGACTGAACCTGCCCGCAGGTGACACTGAGGTTTAATGAAGAGCAGCGAAGCCCCAGCAAGCTGAACATCCCAGCCCGAAGGGCGGAGCCAGGGGCCACGCAGAGCCGAGCACGGAGCCCGCGCGGACCAGCCCCGGGCCCCTCGTGCCGAAAGCACCCGTCGTCAGAGCGCCGTGGTCTAACAGATTGAAGTAACTGAGTGTAAGGTGTGCTGGGTCTAAACTTTGTGATGTTTACTTGTATTTGATTTACACGCATCAAAGCGTCTGAAAATCGAGCCTCAGTGTGTTCTTCGTGGTGCAAGAGTGCAAGGAGATTTTTTTTGCCTTCTTTGCTAATGATCTTGTGTGTGTGTACACGTGTGTGTGTGTGTCTGCACGTGTGGGGACCCTGTGACAACTGCACCCGCCTCGAGCCCTGTCGTGCGGTACGTGCGTCTGTCCTCCTGACGAGGTCGGGTTGGTGCCAAGTGACACCTGACTCGGTGGTGGTTTGTTCTTCATGTTCTGTTCCTGAAATGGGAGCAGAGGACCCTCGGGGCGGCCAGCAGGGATCCGAAGCCCTCCACCGACACCGGATCTTCTGCTCGGGCTTCAGGAAGGGCAACCGCCCTGTCTCTGTCCTCGTCAGCTGGAGACGCGGCTCCCAGGGGAGACTGTGGGTCTAACAGGTGCCGACGCGTCTGTTTCCCGAGTCCTGAGCACGTCAGGAGAGTGAGTCAGTCTGGCCTTTCCACCTCATGAGTCTGAACAATGGACTTTTCCAGCTTTTTAAAAATTGTCAAAAAGCCTATTGTGCTTCTTAATAAAACATCACAGGCTAATAATTCATTTCAAACATTTCTAAAGATGCTGCGTGGGAGGAACATAATCTTCAGGAAAGAGCAAAAACAAAACATCAAACCAAAAACGTGGAGATCACTGAATTAAATGTGTCAAGAACAGTGTTTACTGAATCACAACATAATTTTGATTGAACCTGTCTTGGCATTCATCACTTTCCCAGACCTTAAAGATGACAGTTAAACGGGCAGCCTCGTACCTGTGTTCTAGACTCTCAGTCCTGTGTTTCATCTGCTGTTTATGCTGCAGACTCTTAGACAGGAGACTCTCCTCCCTTGTCCATTTCCTGTTCCATCCAAGTAGATGAGGCTGAAATTCTGTCTCCTCTTGCAAGGTTATTGAGTTTTAAGTGGAAATTACAGGGCATAACGAACAATGGACCATGCATAATTTGTAATCAAAAAGAAACACCAATACAAATAGAATTTTCTAACGTAAAAGAGATGACTTTTTTCCTTTTTCTTTTCACTAAGTAGGAAAATTCCAGAGACTCTCAGCAGATGAGCAGAAAAGGGGACAGTGTGAGATGGTTCTGCACTGTAATAAGATGAGTTAGTAACGAGCAGAGCACACGTCACTGCACTGAAACTCAGTGGAGCTGATGAAACCAGCTCCACCAAGGCCCAGCTCAGGCCCCGGGGCAGCGGCCCCGTCCTCCGTCTGGCACTAATTACAGAAATATCTTCTGTATGATGATCCACGACCAGACTGTCTCT